CTCGTGAATATGAATCTAATCTTTTTTTCAGCTTATCTTCATAAAATTGGCATTATTCATCAGATTTCTTGTGCCTACACATCTTAGTAGAATGGTGTCACTAAACGAAAGAATTGTCATCGGTTGGAAGTTACCCGCGTACTATTATTCCAGATGAATGTTCCACATTTTTTGAATTATGATGTTCTCACTACTTATTACCTTATTAATCGTATGTCATCTTCTGTGTTAAATAGACAAAGTCTATCTCTTGTCGCTTTCTTCGATACTCCCTTATTTTCCTTACCTCCTAAGATTTTTGAGTGTATATGTTATGTTCAAAACTTGGAAACTAGATTTGATAAACTTGACCCTCATGCTATCAAATGTGTCTTTTCTAGATACTCCCACACACAAAAAGGGTATAGTTGCTATGGTCCCACCCTTCGTCGGCACTTCACTGGTACAAAGGATTAAAATATCGTTTCAAAACGGTCGAAACATCCAAAATATTTCTAATTCCAAGGAAACTGAAACAAATCAATAATAGAATTGAAATTTTAATACTTCGAGGTGTTCCATAATGTTTCGAAATGTTTTCGTTATATTTCAATGCATTTGCACAATTATTTCGAAATGTCAAAGTATTTCAAGATATTTTGATATATTTCAACCAATGTTTTAAAAAAATAATTCTCAAATTTTTTATTTTTTTCATTCTGATTCGAAACGGGTTAAAACATTTCCGAAACACGTCAAAATATTTTCGTTTCCTAGGTGACCGAAACAATACACCAAAACAAAATTTTGATCCTTGCCTAGTGATAATGTCACCTTTACTGAATTTGTTCCGTATTTTCCAGCTCTTGCTCAGGCTTTAGATCTTGACTTCAGGTCATCCACTACACCACCGCCCCTTCCCTTACTGTCAGTTATTCCGGTGCCTATTGTGCTACCATCTACTTCTTCATTTCGTGTATACTCTCCTCGGCGATTATCTACTAAGGTCCCCCTACCGTTTTCCTTGTCATCTCCTGATCCTAGTCCTAGTCACTCAGGTACGTTTGACTCTTTATCTATTACTCTTCAGAAAGGTACTTCATCATGTGTTACTAACCATCTCATTGCTAATTTTTTTTCTTATAATGTTGTCTTTTGTCTTCTCTTACTTTACCTCTCACCTGTCTACTATCTCTATTCTTAAGAACTTACAAGGTGCGTTGTCTGATCTGGGTTGGAGGAAAGTAGATCATAATGGGACTTAGGATCTTGTTCCCTTATCGCCCGATAAACTAACTATTGGTTGTTGATGGGTGTATACCGTTAGATTTAATCTAGACGGTTCTGCTGAGCGTCTCAAAGCCCGTCTTGTTGCTAAGGGCTTTACTCAAACCTATGATGTTGATTATGAGGAGACTTTTTCTCTTATTATCAAAATCTCCTCAGTTCATGTATTGATTTCTTTGGCCGCTAATCTTGATTACCCCTTNTCGTCTCAAAGCCCGTCTTGTTGCTAAGGGCTTTACTCAAACCTATGATGTTGATTATGAGGAGACTTTTTCTCTTATTACCAAAATCTCCTCAGTTCATGTATTGATTTCTTTGGCCGCTAATCTTGATTACCCCTTGTTTCGGTTAGATGTCAAAAATACCTTCTTACACGGTGACTTAATTTTCAACATTAAATACTATGAGTTCATAATCTAGGGCCTAACTATAGAATCCACATCCCAATGGCAAAATAACCACAATCTTTCTTTACTGTATAAGTTTTTCCGATCTTCAAAAATAATTCTAGATGATTCTTATAAAACCACTATAATCCAATGCATAAACAACCACTAAGGCAAAAAGATATATACTAAAACAAGAAACTAATGTGTTGTCCATGTGTGTATACACTTGCAAAGATGGCGGGTAGAGATGTACTTCAAGTTATGCCACTGAAACCATATTTCTAAGCCAAAAAGAAATCACAGAAACAGACATTTGATACAAGACAAACACAAGTTGGTTGCAAGTAATTTAGCATCATAGAGCGGAAGAATAACAGAACAGTTGTCTAACATTTCAAAATAATGGAGACAAAGCGCATCCCAACTTTGAAGGCTGAACAACCAATCACGAGACTACACCTCATATCGGAGTCAAAAATTGGAAATCATTGATAAATTACAAGTTCCCTGGTAAAAATTTCCTTCTCCTCTGCAGGCCTTGCAAAGAGAATTCTACGTATTCTAGCCTTGTACAAAAAATCACATAAAGCAAGGAGCATTTCGCCGTCCCTGGAAATCCTTTATGGCTTTGCTCCCCATAGCATTTGACCCGAAAAATTGGAACATAGCCGAAAATTGATATAACTAACAAAACAGAAATAGCTTCAGGTCTCTATCAAATCTTCATGTGAGTAATGCAAACTTTGTTAAGGGAACAGCATGCCAATAAAAACACTATGTATTAATGTTAAACTAATACAAAATTCAATCTAAAATCTATTGAGTCNCCGTGTATACTCTCCTCGGCGATTATCTACTAAGGTCCCCCTACCGTTTTCCTTGTCATCTCCTGATCCTAATCCTAGTCACTCAGGTACGTTTGACTCTTTATCTATTACTCTTCAGAAAGGTACTTCATCATGTGTTACTAACCATCTCATTGCTAATTTTTTTTCTTATAATGTTGTCTTTTGTCTTCTCTTACTTTACCTCTCACCTGTCTACTATCTCTATTCTTAAGAACTTACAAGGTGCGTTGTCTGATCTGGGTTGGAGGAAAGTAGATCATAATAGGACTTAGGATCTTGTTCCCTTATCGCCCGATAAACTAACTATTGGTTGTTGATGGGTGTATACCGTTAGATTTAATCTAGACGGTTCTGCTGAGCGTCTCAAAGCCCGTCTTGTTGCTAAGGGCTTTACTCAAACCTATGATGTTGATTATGAGGAGACTTTTTCTCTTATTATCAAAATCTCCTCAGTTCATGTATTGATTTCTTTGGCCGCTAATCTTGATTACCCCTTGTTTCGGTTAGATGTCAAAAATACCTTCTTACACGGTGACTTAATTTTCAACATTAAATACTATGAGTTCATAATCTAGGGCCTAACTATAGAATCCACATCCCAATGGCAAAATAACCACAATCTTTCTTTACTGTATAAGTTTTTCCGATCTTCAAAAATAATTCTAGATGATTCTTATAAAACCACTATAATCCAATGCATAAACAACCACTAAGGCAAAAAGATATATACTAAAACAAGAAACTAATGTGTTGTCCATGTGTGTATACACTTGCAAAGATGGCGGGTAGAGATGTACTTCAAGTTATGCCACTGAAACCATATTTCTAAGCCAAAAAGAAATCACAGAAACAGACATTTGATACAAGACAAACACAAGTTGGTTGCAAGTAATTTAGCATCATAGAGCGGAAGAATAACAGAACAGTTGTCTAACATTTCAAAATAATGGAGACAAAGCGCATCCCAACTTTGAAGGCTGAACAACCAATCACGAGACTACACCTCATATCGGAGTCAAAAATTGGAAATCATTGATAAATTACAAGTTCCCTGGTAAAAATTTCCTTCTCCTCTGCAGGCCTTGCAAAGAGAATTCTACGTATTCTAGCCTTGTACAAAAAATCACATAAAGCAAGGAGCATTTCGCCGTCCCTGGAAATCCTTTATGGCTTTGCTCCCCATAGCATTTGACCCGAAAAATTGGAACATAGCCGAAAATTGATATAACTAACAAAACAGAAATAGCTTCAGGTCTCTATCAAATCTTCATGTGAGTAATGCAAACTTTGTTAAGGGAACAGCATGCCAATAAAAACACTATGTATTAATGTTAAACTAATACAAAATTCAATCTAAAATCTATTGAGTCATTCGATCTCATTATCCCATAGCATGCCCAAGAGTTTCTACTTGGGCCGGGAACCTTCTCTGCAGAGATTAGAGCTTTTAGACAGTAAAGTATACATTGAGATAGAAAGAGG